TCTGCTTCAAAAAAGAGACGCTGGGTGCAGTGCTTTTTCTCTAGGCATCTGCATACACTCCCCCCTCTTTGGGAGTAACTGAAAAAAGATGGCGGCATATAGAAAAAAGCTCTATGTGGACACAGTCCTTTAATCTTCAGCTGAGAGCCTGGAATAGATAGAAGGACGCTGCCCAGGGATCCTAAAATACGTTCAGGGTCGTACAGGGATGACAGATCTGAGATATATGGAGGATTCAGTCCATTTAGTGCCCTTTAAGTAATTAAAAGAACCTAGAACTATAATCTAAAACATTATGGAAGTTAGTGTGAAGATGTTAAATCTCAGTGATGAGGTCAAACATGAAACTAGTCTTGCATAGCCAGACTCATCTTTTCACTCTGTTATAGCGGTGTGCATGAAACAACAACCTCCGAGCTAGCAAACTACACACCAAAACATCTTTTAATGTTTTATGTGGTGTTTTCTTTTGAGGGGATTTCGCTGCCAGAGCTCGTCCTCCCACCAAAACAATTTCTTCCTGACACTAATTTGCAAAGGCACTGTTCCTGCATCATGGGCTTAGTGCCACTCAAGACAACTGTGATTGGTTTATAGACATATAAACAATCTAGAGCCTTTCCTTCAGCACTGGCACAGCATAAGATCTGGCTATGCAAGAGACTAACACCTCGTTTCCACTTACGTATGTATACAGAGACGAGGCAACTGGAAGTCCAGTCATTACCATGGGAATCTCTGTGATATCCGATGTTCCTGTGAAACTCCTCCCCTCTGTATTTTTTCAGTCAGGAATTTGCCCGGGTACATCAAAAAAATGGAACCTTTGCGTTGGATTTTGGAGAGACCGTATGACAGTGTGCTAGCTTAGCTAACAGGCTGCTAACTAGCTAAAGGGCTATTTCCTTCAGTTCAGTTGCCTGTGTTGGTTGTCAAGTGTCTAGTTTGAACAGATTGTGAATCTGAGTAATGTTATTCTGCTAAAATATGGTTATACATAGTGTACAGTCAGATCGTCATTATGATTCCCTTAGCCGTTCATACGCCTTTTTAATTAGACATTTCACAAAACATGCCACGTACCTGGCAGGTCCTGTTTTTGTCTCGTTAATGTTCCATGTGTATATTCCAAACTACTGGATGGCTAAAAATGGACAAAAGTAGCTTCACCCCCATGGCTACAGGTAGTTTCTATCAGGTTTCTGTCCAGCCACAAAGAAATGCACTTCACTTTCTCACTGGCCCTAACAAAAAGAAATGGAGAAATACTGAACTTCCACTGAACCCTCCTCTTCTGTGGCAGCCACGGGTTTCTTAACTGTGCATTTGATGTCGAAAAAACATGGAGTGTGGACTCCACGTAGACTGTGTCAAGCTGTCACACACAATTTAAAGTATTATTATATTATCTGGGCGAAGGTCCCTTGCTATTTTCATATTCATCCAGCTTTCCATGTCGTCTACTTCAAGCCAAATGTCCCCAGTTTCTGAACGCACCCACACTTGTGCCTTCAGTGTGTGCAAGTTAGCATACCGACATTAGCATTTAGCTCAAAGCGCTGCTCTTTAGTTCCTCTGAACTGGCTTCAGCCTGAAGGATCCATTAAGGTACCTCTGAGGGGAACTCTATTTTACCTTCCATAACAGCGCCTGGATCAGCGGGGGTATTTGAGAGCTAACCAAAGATGAAATGTTGAAGCGTCTTTTTCTTCTGTCTCTCCACATGCATGCCTCCTTTCCCCCCATTCCTCAGTTCCCAGTTTTGTTTTGCCCTTGGCCTGTGTATTACTGTCTGGATAGCAGAGGGACTCATTGAATTCCCCTTGTACAGGGTTCAGCTGTTGTTCATTATTCCTTTGTGTTTACCCTTTTAAACTTCCACTTGTCAACTACTCATGTAGAGAACTATTTTTACTTTTTTCCCGTGCTTGCCTGTGTTTCCAATCTAGCCTGGCTGTTAGCTATTCAGCGTGTTTCCTAAAAACCGATAGGTGAGGCCACACAAGGGCTGCAGGGGCAAAGTAAACACCCACCATTGTGGAGATATAGTTTTAATTCACATTAGCAGAACATCCGACTAAGTCTTGTTTTTCAATTAGCAAATTTTCATATGGGAAGCCACTGAGAGATCATGTCCTGATTTATGCAATACTGACACCTGCTTGTTGGTTAAGGAGCGTGCAATGCGGAGCAGAGGATTCAGGGAAATGGAATTTAACAAATTGAAGTGTTGCATTGCTTATTGGCAGATGATAAAATCGTATGGTGACAACCTGTGTCACGGAGGGGGAAGTGGCTCATGGCTGTCTACACGCTCCCCAGACCAGCAGTGGAGTTAGCTGGGACAAGGATCACAGTACTCACAAATTGGAGAGATAAAAGGCAGAAATTTAAAAATCTCTTTGATAACGGGACAAGTTGGTCTCATAGGATAAACAAACTTGGGGGAAAACTAGTCGACTAGTTAAAAGCATGATGAATTCATGGGCTAATTCCTGGACTGCCACCCCTCTGGGCTTTCTGAAAAGTCCTCTGATCTCTGATACTCCTAGCCCTTGGCCTGTAACTTTCAAGTCTTAATCTGTATAGTCTGGCAGGAGTCCACTTGAAACACCCCGGTTTTTTCAGCTGAATGTTTCTGCTTTATAAATATCCAGACATTTTCCTGCAAGTCTGAACTGAAAAGTTTCACAAATTTGAGTCATTATCATATGTTTTTATTACTTTCGAAATCACACATATTGTGTGCTCCATGTGTGCAGAGACACAACTCGCATGCTCATTAATTTCTTACATATGTGACTGGGATGATTGGATCTCACAAGCAGAATTATTCCAATATGGAGCTGCAGTATTTATGCGAGGAATGACTAAAAGGTCTCAGTTGCCTTCAGTTAGGGAGCTAATGTGAGGGATCTGCAGCGTTTGGAACTACTGTGATATCTCTAAGTTTGTTTTGGCTACCGTGAGCCTGCCTCACCATGCAGACCTGGAAAGCCTTTGGGATGTTTTTTAATCCGTCATAGCAGCAGAGGAAGAAGACGCTTGGAATAATTGCTTTAAAAATGTTGGCTTTCCTGTGCGTGACATGACCTAAGGGAAACTGCTAAACTATGGTGATAAAAACTTGTTAGATGAAACAATGTGAGGCTGTGCAGTCAAGGCAGAGGTTGACACTGTGGTGAGGTCAATCTGTGGTGGAAGATTCTGCAGAACGAATCAAGGTGGACCCAGAACCAGATAAATACACAGCCAAAGTGCAGTTTAACCCATGGCTGTGTACTCAGCTCAAACATTTAAACTCTTGGGATGTTAACTCTTGGCTTTGTCTGATAGTAGTTTCTTTTTTGTTTTCAATTAGTTAATTAGGAAGCCACTAACAATGAATGGTGCACCCGTGACAGGCGAGAATATTTGATTCTTTAAATTGAATCTTTTATTCTGAGAAAGCTAAGTACTTTTTCTTTTTTTTCTTGTCTCAGTTAGAAGGTCTACTGTATTTCCGGGTATTTCTGTATATGTTTATATATCGCAGCACCTCCAGGCCATGGTTCTCTGCCAGAAACCGATGGATTGCCCTCTCCAGTTGTGAGAGAGTTACTGCCAAGTTCAAGTATCTCAGGGTCTTGTTCAGGAGTGAGGGTAGAATGGAGCGTGAGATGGATCAGCGGTTTGGTGCTGTGTCAGCAGTGATGCAGGCACTGGGCTGAGCCAGAAGGTGAAGGTTTTGATTTACTGGTCCATCTACGTCCCAACCCTCACCTGTGGTCATGAGCTCTGGGTAGTGACCGAAAGAATGAGATTGTGGATACAAGTGGCTGAAATGAGTTTCCTCAGAGGGGTGGCTGGGCTCAGTCTTAGAGATAGGGTAAGGAGGTCGGACATCCAAAGGGAGCTCGGAGTAGAACTGCTGCTTCTTCACATTGAAAGGGGTCAGCTGAGGTGGTTCGGGCATCTGATCAGGATCCTCCTGGGCACCTCCAGTTAGAGGTGTTTCAGGCATGTCCCACTAGTAGGAGGCCCCGGGGCAGACCCAGAACATGCTGGAGGGTTTACGTATCTCATCTTGCCTGGGAACACCTTGGGGTCCCCCAGGAGGAGCTGGAAAGCGTTGCTGGGGAGTGTGTCATGGCCAAATTTCTGGCTAAGTGATGGCCTTATTAAATGTCTGTATTTAACCAGGAAAAGCCTCACTGAGATTAAAGATGTTCTCTCTAAACTAACAGACAAAAAACACAACAGGTACAGAGAATAAAATAATTCAGAATCAAAGCCAGTGTGTCTACAGGTCCTTCAAAGGTCTTAAAGTCTTAGTAAGTATTCGGCCTTCAGAGTCATTAAATCTTCTTAAATCTGAATTAGTGAGGTATTAACTGCTGTAAACATTTGATTAATCTATCTTTTATGTTATTTTTGTTAGAACGAGTCAAGCCATATTTCTGATTGTCTATCTCTTTTTTCTTTTAACTTACTACTTGCACTTACCGGTTGGCAAAATGTAGTTTAATATAATCACTCTAATAACCATAGTACCTCATAAAACTGCCCTCTGCACTACATATACACTTACTGTTATACTGACCTGCAATACTTGAATATGAAAGAGGTGATTTGTTTAAAAATCAGACTTAAATTTATTTAAATCTTATCTCGAAAAGGGTTTAAAAAGCATTACATTTTAGTGCCTGATACCTGTGACAGCCTGATCACAGCAGACCCAGAAATCAGGTCAACACATCCTGGATCACATATTTAATCAAAGCATCTCCAGCCTGGTGCACCTTACTCTGACTCCTTTGGTTTACTTTTGAAAGATCTGCGTACACTGTCAGGAGCTTGCATATGCTTTTGGTTATCGTCTGTTAATGTGATAGCTGCTCAATTTCTACCCTGACGTTATGCGTCTCAGATGATTGCCTGTATTTATGGCAGAAACTGTTTTCCACTTATCAAATTCTGCTAGACACGTGAAATCTACCGTGTGTGTCTTGTTTTTTCAGGTGGATCTCATGAAGAATATCAGTAATATCCCCCAGCCATTCCTCTACACACGGCATGTTCACTTCCTCAACTTTACCAGGTACAGTGGTTGCACCAGTGGACACTGGCGTTCAGTAACAGCATATTCAATCACAGTTTGTTGTCCCAGATTTGAAATTCTGCACTTAACATTGATTTTTCTTTGTCTTTGTCTTTGTAAGGTTCAGGATAGAGCAGCCGGTCTATATCAACATAATCCGGGACCCCATCAACCGGTTCCTCTCCAACTACTTCTTCCGTCGCTTCGGTGACTGGAGGGGCGAGCAGAACCACCTCATCCGTACTCCAGGGATGAAAGATGATGAGAGATACCTGGTGAGGCCTTTGATTTTTATGGAGCAGTTAATTATTGTTTCTGGCTTGAAAATCAAAGCTGCTGTCTCGAGCATAAAATTGAGAGTGATTTACATGCTTCAAGTTGTATTTCATGGTTTATAGATGTGTGTATCACAGCGTATATCAGTGTCTGATTATTGATTGTTTTTCCACAGAGGAGATTCATTTCTCCTGTCGGAAAATGACTCATAGATACAGTGCACATTTTTGAGCTTTGCACTCTTTACTAATGGTGTCTTGAACTTTTTAACGGTCTAGGAATAAAAACTTGCTAGAAGTTTCTATCGATATGACCCCCTGAACTGCTTAATACATAAATGTAAATGTGAGGTGCACCACTTTTCATTCAGGAGAACTACTTCTGACTCTTTGCAGGAGTCTCACACAAAGTGTCGTCATGCAGGCACACGGGGCCACTTGATTAATTAGCTGTAGTTTTGTAGCCAAAGTTTTGCACCTGCTTGCAGATTGGAAAGGATTTTTATTAAGAGAATTAAGGGTGAAATTCTGGGTCGATACCAAAACTGTATTTAAAATAAGAGTTTGGCTGACAGCCGATACTGATATAGATGTTATTCAGCTCTTCATTACACTATTTGTGAATGAGCACATATTCGATCATACACATTTAAGAAACAACCTTTAATAACCTGAACATGAACGTGAAAATCATCTCTCTTTTAAAAGATTAAAAAGCCATTATATACCATACATAATATATTATAATTTCCCCTCTAATATCTGTTTTATATTGCTGTGAAAATAACAACAAATTTCTCCTTTAAACAACTGAATTTATTCAAAGTTCTTGCCAAAAACAAAATTTTACAAGAATATGTTTGAACACATAATGATAATGTTATAATTTACCTTTGCCCAGCAGTCATTTTTACTGAGTAGAGCTCTATCGCACCATAATGTAACTCAGTGCAAGCTCCGTTAGCTGTTAGCTCCGACCAACCAATGGGCTAACGATTAACATTAAAGGGATACTTTACTGATTTTCACATAGCTTCGTATCAAATAGCGTGGGTAGTGTGTGAAAATGAACCATGGTACACTTCCCTCCATCTAACCAGTGTCTAGATATCCCTCCTCAGCCAGTGTTTTGCTTGTTCTCGGGCTGTTGCTTGAACGACAGGCTGTACGCCTGCATTTTTGTATCACCCACATTTTTGTATGGTATTGCCTGTCTGATTGGACCAAAGTCAAAATAGACGAATATATTTCAAGATTATGTTCTGTATTTCCTGTTTGCCTGTTTGTATGGCCCAAGACCCGTCCACCAGACACTCGCTGGTGAGCCCCACCCAGGTCTGACTCCAGGGGGCGACCCAGGGTCCCCATACCCAAACTCCGAATATGCAGTTTCATCAAGGTCTTCTTGAATTACTCGTAGTCTGGCCTCTCCCCTGGGACCACTTTGCCTTGGGAAACCCTACTGGGGTCTGTTAGCCTTGGACAACACAGCTCCCAGGTTCTCATGGACACACAAATCCCTCCAAGGTTAAGGTGACGATTCTCAGAGTAGAGCCGCTGCTCCTTTGCATCAAAAGGGGTCAGTTGAGGTGGTTCGGGCATCTGATCAGGATGCCTCCGGGGCGCCTCCTGTTAGAGGTATTCCGGGCACGTCCCACTGGTAGGAGGCCCCAGGGCAGACCCAGAACACACTGGAGGGATTACATATCTTATCTGGCCTGAGAACACCTTGGGGTCTCTCAGGAGGAGCTGGAAAGCATTGCTGGGGAGAGGAATGTCTGGGGTGCTTTGCTTGGCCTGCTGCCTCTTCGACCCGGCCCTGGGTAAGGGGATGAACATGTATAGATGGATGGATGGATTAACTATCTTTTTCAATTCTGTTTCTGAGCAGTGCATCCTTGGCCATAACATTGTGTCAGATTTATGATGAGGAGAACTGACAATGTCCCTCTCTAAAAACTTCTCCCCTAAATCCTCAAATGATATGTTCTAACTAGGAGCCATTACAGTATACGGAGCCTTTAATCTAACTAGCTTTAGAGAGGGTACCACATTTACGATGTCGCCCCACTCCCTAGAGAAGCCCACTGTAGAAAACTTTTCTAACAATATTATTTAAAAGTCAAACAAAAACTGAATCTTTGAGCCTTCTTCCCCTCTATCTGCCTTTCATCTTGGTCCCAGTGCCCACAGGCCCATTTACTCTCATATGGACATTAGCTAAATCAATGCCACGGATGTTTATGGTTTGAAATACTAATGCATTTGCAGTATTTGAGAGAGCTGCATAGTTACTTTATGACTGAGTCCCTAGCTTGCCAGTAAAAGTGCTTTGACTCTGTATCTGTTTTGGTTCCCGGCCAGCTGGTTTCATAACCTGAAGCTCAGTTGAGACATGAAGTGAAATGTTGTATACTCATGTCTTATTCTGGTATGAGCTTTATGTACACTAATTATGGAGGCATGTGAGCCAAGGAGGGTTTGCACAGAGAGACGGTAATGATACTGACTGTTGAACTATGTCATATAAACACACTCTATAATCTTCCACTCAATATCGTAACAAGAAAGTAATCCTACTGACATTGATTTTCTTTATTACATTCATTCACTCACTGAATAACTGATAAAAACCATCTTCTGTGTCAGTCAGATGGCGGGTTTGTTGAATTTAAGACCTCTGTTTGTCGTTATCGTGAGACAAACATTAACTTCCTAAATGTTAAAATATAAGCAGCAGAACATTTCTTCAATGCAGGAATATATCAAAACCACACTTTGCTCCCTTTGAAGATGTTTTACACGTGGTGTTGCTGGAGGCAGGAAGGCAAATTGTAAGGCCACGGCAGTCTGATGCTAAACTCAATATTTAAATCTGATTATGATTCCAATTAGAGACCTGATTTAGTATAACCACATCAGAAACTTGGTATTCTACATCTGCCTCGCAGAGTTGTTTTCCCCCGTAGCGCCATACTGTAGGCAATGCATCTCACATTATACAGTACATGCTGTTTGGAGCCTTACTTTAATTTTCAATTTTTAGTTTTTTTAATCTGTGGGTGAGTTTTTCCATTTTGGAGGAGCTGCTGAGATACAGTGTGAGCTCATGACACAAAATACAGTTAGCAGTGAAGTGATGGGTGCTATGTGTCAATTGAAGAAAGCAACATTTTTGATTAGGGGAGCACGTGGGTAAAAGACAGAAAATTTTGGTTATAAAAACAGGTCAAAATTATGATCAATACAAGATTTCATAGCAAATCGATATCCAATCCCAAACACAGATACACTTTTGGTCCTTCCTGCCACAGTCCTCAATACTGTCAGAGCTCAAATGGCCATACCGAGAGGCGAGCAGGAGGAGTGAATGTCATTCTGGCTTGAGTCTGACTGGGTGTAATTAAGTATTGCACTGCTTTCCCTGGAGTTTTGGACCATGTGAGTTGAGTTATTAAAGTATGCAGACCACGGGGGCCCCTTGCTACAGTTAGAGGAGAGGGGGAGGCTGTGTTGCTGTAGACTGGGATACCTGTGTGTGAATGTGTGTGTGTGTACTTGTATATGATGTATAATGAGGACAAAAAACATATTTTAGCAACAGTGTGAGGACATTTTGGGTGATCCTCACTTTTTCAAAGGCCTGTTTAAGGGTTAAGACTTGGTTTTAGGGTTCAGGTTAGATTTAAGTTTAGGTAAGGGTTGGTGTTAGGCACTTAGTTGTGATGGTTAAGGTTAGGGTAAGGAGCTAGAGAGTGCATTATATCAATGAATGTCCTCACAAAGATAGAAGTACAAGGAAGGGTGTGTGTGTGTGTGTGTGTGTGTGTGTGTGTGTTTATACTACTATATTCATGTGGACCAAAACTTCTTAACAGGGTGTGATGAGTTAAAGTAGTTACAGTATGCAATGTTTTGCCCTGAGTCACTGAAGTGTATTCCAAGTCTTGTCCTCTTCCCCATGACTTATTCACTCCTTCTCTGGCACTCTCTGAGATAACTGAGATTCTGCTGCATACCAACATGTTACTGTATCGGCACAGACGTGTCTCTCAGATCATCCTGTTTTGCTTTGCTGTGCTTTCTTTACTCACTGTGCTTTACATTGCTGCTGTTGGTATTGTTTATTTGTACTGACTGTGCTCGATAGCCACGACATCCTAGCTCACCTAATCAGCAAAAACAGCTTGACATTATGTGCTAAATCATATCTATAAACAGTGGCCGCAAGCATATGCCACACCACCATCTGTATAATGCTGCAGTAGAGTGCTATACGCTGCAAAAAGTGCTGAACCTCGCTGAAAAACCAATTACAGGCCAAAGCAGAAGTTTAGGAATCAACAGAGTCAGACTGATGTGTGATAGCTGTATATATTCAGTCCTCCCAAGCTACAGTTGGTAACTTTAAAAAAACAACTTTTTATTATATTTGCTGAAACTGTCACTACATCCACACAGTAATCCACGAGACAGATAATCGCCTCCTCAAATTGCTTATAATGGTATTACAATAAGTGAGCAGAAACAACCAATCAAAGCAGAGGAGTCTCTAACGCAGCTGTCAATCACTGCTTGTGAACTGTGGTCAAACTGTCAAACTAGGCAGGACTGATCAAATATAAGTTAAGATTCGGTTACTGCATTGTCTTTTTCTCACCTCAGATGTTTTCAGAAACATATTTTAGTGTACTGTTTAGCTGTCAAATGAAAAATCTGGTTCATCCGGTGGGTGGTGCTTCAATTGACTGTTTCCAACTCTCATTTTACAGCTAAACAGTACACTAAAATATGTTTCTGAAAACATCTGAGGTGAGAAACAGGCAATGCAAATACAGAATCTTGATTCATATTTGATCAATGTGTCTATTTTGTATCTGTTTAACCAGGAAAGTCCCATTGAGATCAGCGAAGGAGACCTGGCTTAGACAGCAGCATGCAAAAAGTTACAGACAAACAACCACACAATAAAAACACAAAAGATCTATGGTAACATGTAG